TATATATATATATATATCCCTGTATTACTTACTTTCCTATTGATCTAATTCAGTGACAAAGATAACTTAAAGAAGGAAGGGTTTATTTGACTTATACTTCCAAGGGATAAGAGTCCATCATTGAGGGGGAGGCACAATAGGCAGCAGCTGAGGCAGAAGGCTAAGCACTCACATTTTCAAGCAGGCACAGGAAGCAGAGAGACAGACTGGAAGTAGGGTGGAGCCATATTCCCTCAAAGCTCACCCACAGTGACTTGCTTCCTCCAGCATAGACATAACTCCTAAATGTTCCCTGACCCTTCCCATACAGTATCACCTACGGACCAAGTGTTCAACTGCATGGAGTCTAAGTCGGGCATTCTCATTCAAAGTGCAGCAGTTCAAAAGGAAAGAGTGTTCATTTAGGAGGCGATAAGAAAGTAGAGCTCCCTCTGGTATTTAGTAAGAGAACCAAAGACATTTCTGAAGCTTTTGTTTCTAGAGTCCCTGCAATGAGATGCTTTTCTCCAAAATCAACCACACATTAGAACACAAAGCATATCTATCATATTTAAATTGAAATAACATCCTATAACCTATCTGGCCACAAAAGGAAATAGCTGAATATCAACAACAACAGAAATAGCAAAAAATACATAAACTCATGAAAACTAAACAACATACTACTGAATGGAAATTAGGCCAAGGAAGAAATCAAGAAGGCAATTTTAAAATTCCTACTATTGTTTGAAAAATACAACACAGCAAAATCTATGAGACACACTGAAGGCAGTCCTGAAATCAAAATGTAGCGCACTAAGTGTAATCAACAGAAAATTAGAGACATTTCATATTAATAACAATGATGCATCTGAATACCATGAAAAACCCAGAATAACATGAAAACAGGAGCAGATAAGTAAAATCAAGGCTGAAATTAATGAAATAGAGATGAAGAAAATACACAGAATCACTGGAAAATGCAGTTGGTTTTTGAAAAGATTAAGAAGGATGAGAAATCTTTAGCCAAACTAACCCAAAGAAGGAAAGAGGACAGAAAGCAATAAACTCGGAGATAAAAAGGGAAACATTACTGAAGACCTTGAAGAAATCAGGACATATTTTAAAAATCTATATTCTGGATATAAACTGGAAAATCCAAAAGAAATGGATAAATGTCTAGATATTTGTAGCCTACCAAAGTTAAACCAAAATGATCTAAGTCATTTAAACAAACCCCTAAAAAGCAATAAGATTGATGGAGTATTAAAAACTTCCTAAGAGGAGTCCATGACCAGGTGTATTCAGTACAGAATTCTACCAATGCTTCTACCAAAAAATTCTGTGAACGAAGAATTAATACCAGTACTCCTTCAATTATTCAGTAAAAGAGAAAAGTAAGGTAGACTCCCAATATTACCCCAATACCAAAACCAGACAAAGAACCCCAAAAAAAAAAAGAGAGAAAATTGTAGGCCAATCTCTCAGATGAACAAATGCAAAATATAAAAATATAAATATATATAGAAATATACGAAAGGTTATCCACCATGATCACTTTGGCTTCATCATGGAGATGTAGTGATGGTTCAACCTAAGTCAATAAATGTAATCTACCCCATAAACAGACTTAAGGACGGAAATCACATGATCATCTATTTGACAAAATCAAACATCCCTTCATTATAAATGTCCTGGAGAATGTAGGATGCAGAGAACTTATTGCAACACAATAAACACAGTACACCACACACCCTCAGCCAACATCATATTAAACAGAGAAGAAGAATAAAGCATTACTATTGAAACCACGAACAAATGTAACATGTCCACTCCCTCCATTCCTGTTCAGTAGAGTGCTCGAGGTCTTAGCTGGAGCACTAAGACAAATAGGTATAAACTAGGAATGAAGAAGTTAAAGTATCCTTTTCTTAATTTTTTACTCGGTTAATTCTTTTATTTCCTTTTGTGATAGTTCATGTTAATACAAAGAAATGCAACTGAGTTTGTATATTGATTATATATCCTCTAATTTTCAGTATATCCGTTTAGTAGTTCTAACCATTTTATGAGACTTTTTTTGAAGCTTTTAAAATTTTATTAGAATTTTAAAGAAAAAGCCTCAGGACAGACGAGCTGGTAATCTTGGCAGCTGCTTTGATGAGGAGACTAGTGGAGAGAAAAAAGAAAGCCATGAAGCCATGCAGACTTAGAGTCTGCATGCAGTTCAGACACGTGGCTGACTGGCAGCCACATGACTGGGAGACGGAAGCTCTAGAGAAAAAGTAAAGAAATACAGGATGCCAGGGGCAGCACAAACACTTAAAGAAAGCATGTTTAGGAAAGGGATATGAAGAAGAAAAGGAGAGATTATGCTTTTCCGAAGAATTCAGAAAACAGGCAGACTTACGTACTTCATGGCTGTGGCTGGTCCAGAAGTTCACCACTAGGAGGCGGGATTCCAAGCAGGAAAAAAAAAAAAATCTCTATTTCATTAACACATGAGGTGTTCCACCCATCTATTTAGCATAACGTAAGGTGAACCCGCCTTCCTAGGGGTGGTCCTATGATCAGATGATTGACCAGTGAAAGTGAAAAGGGGAGTCTTCCAAAAGACAAACTAGAGATTTTATAGTCTTGACCAGTTAAACTTATGGGGCTTTGTGCTACTCTAATATTACCCCCTCTGAAGAGGTAACCCTGAAATCTTTTAGGGAATAGATAAGAGCTCCCAAATACTTTTGACATTTTTGGCCTTTGGAACAGAGTATGTTGCTAAAAGACCCAAGGACATTTTGACTTATAGCCAAGAAAGAAACTGGCTACTTTTCTTTGGTGTCTTTTTACCCAAACTGCCTAGTCAATTTCTACCTACTAAGAACAGTAATAAGAACATCACACTACCGTCTGAAGAGGTTACTATCACACCACCCTCTGAAGAGGTTACTATCACACCACCCTCTGAAGAGGTTACTCAAATTGCCAATAAGGAAACAGCTTGCCCACTGCTCTGGCTTCTTACATGCTGAATAGGGTTGCAGGGTGTGGCAATTAGGGTACCCCTTCAATGGGTCTATCTAAAAGATTTCCAAATCGCATAACTGTAGGGAGAAAAGAAAGTTCTTGACCTGTCGGTGCCTAAGAGATGTGAAGGAGACGTAAAGGCTAGAGTAGTTAGTATTACAAGTTCTAGATAGGGAACCAGAAAAAATCAGAACAGGGCAAATTTCAAATATCCAAATTAAAGTCCATTGGAATTTGTTGACAAGGGCTTCCAAAAGCATTTCTCTATTGGGCTCCTCCTCACTTTTCTTTTGACCACCAAGACTGGACTCAAGAGTGATGACCTCAGGATTTGTTTTCAGGCACTTTGATAGCAGTTGGAGTGGCTAGAATCAGTGTCAGTTTTCTGTCAAATGGCTTCGAGACATGTTATGCATTTTTAAAAATAAATTATATCATGCCATAAACAAATATATGAATTTCCCCCTTTATCAAAGAAGACTTTTAGTTATTTATTATTTATTTGACTAATTGCACTGAGTTCCTACAGCACTATGTTGAGTAAGAGTGGTGAGCTTACCTACCACGCAGCCTGTACAGCTATGGCTCAGGGAACATCACAAAAGAGGAGTTAGAAAGAATATAAGATCTAGATGGACAGCACACTTGCTCTTAATTGATGCATTCTAGACATGAAGGGGAGCTGCACCAATGAAATCTCCATAGTATAATAGTCTAACAATATCTGCATAACGACAAAACAAGTTGACATTCCACGGTGAATAGGGGGAGGAAGACCACAGGGTCCCACCTTGAGATGAAGAGGTACAGGCAATCAGGGGATGCTGAGGGAGGGAGAATCGGTTTTCTTCAGGGGCTTGTGCCATGATAAAATATCTAATCCCAAGAGAGCAACCTCAAGCACAGAGATACAAGAATACCACTAAATGGATGCAGTGTATTATGTAAAATACAGATATATGTGTGTGTAATTGTCATGACATATATACATGTATATATGTGTGTATATATATAAATGTGTATATTTGTAAATATATGTATATGTAACAATAATAAAGAAAAAACAAGAAATTATAAAAGAATGGAGTTACATGGGAGGAGTTGTTGAGTAATTGGAATGGATGGAAATAATGCAAAGAAAATATTTATGCATGAAATTCTCAAAAATTAAAAACTTGGTGAGACTGAACATTCATTCCCTGCTCCTGATCGTAGAGATCAGCTTTTCCTCACAGAGCTGCGTGAGTGCTTCTTGTGTGCAGCCTTTGCTCTGTTGAGAGTATTTCCTGAATCTTTGTAAAAATGTGATTGGTAGCTCCTCTTAGAAGAGAAAACCAGGACAAGGTGGGGAGCAATAAAGAAAATATTCAGAAAGACAAGAAAAGAAGGGAGCTATACTTATGTGCATGTTAAGATGCTATTTGGTTCCTAGAGTTCCAGTGTACAAGATGCAAACATTCTAGAGATAGTATACTAGAGGTTTGTTTGTAGTGTGCATTTTAAACCACAATAGAAAATGTCCTAGAGCTCCTGTTATCACAACAGAATGGATGTGGGGCGTCTGCGGAGAGAACCAGAAAGTGGTAGGCAGAGTGTGAGAGATGAGTGCAGTCAGGGGAACTGTTGTGTACACATCCCGCTTCTCTGCTGAACAAAATCTCATTAGGGATGTTTCAAATCTTCACGCTGATTGTGTGTCTAGGTTTACACAGTTAACTCAGTTTCATTTAATTTTATGTAAAACTTAAGAGGATTAAGAAAATTCAATGTGATGTTTTTCCTCCACGTGATCAATCATATGCAAGATTTGTCAACCACTTTCTAAGTTCTGCATTCTGTTTTCTGTGAAGAAATTGGGTTTCTGATTACACAGATGGGTCACTACCTCTCTATGAGGTATCCTTCCTGTTCTTACCTCCCAACCTGACGTGTAAAAACAGGTCACTCACAGTTAGAAGCCATCCTGGAAGAAGGAAGTGGAGATGTGTTCGTCAGTGGTCAGTAGCGCACAGCCGTGAGGAAGTGCCATCAAAAGCTCTGCAAGTCCTCTGCTGAAAGTCCAGAAGGCCTCAGGCTACTTGACAAATTGCATTCCTCCCTCCTCATTTAAGGACAGACGGACGGGACTCATATTTCTCAGGCATTGGCAGCTTATCTTTTGAGAACTCCCTTTCAACTCATTGCCCCAATGTTTAGTTGGGTTGTGCTTTCTAGTTAGTCTTCTAGCTCTTTATATATTCTAGATACTAACCCTCTGTCACACGTATAACTGGTAAACATATCTTCCTCTTTTGTAAGTGGCCTCTTCGCTCCAATGATGGTATACTTTGCTATACAGAGTTCTTAGTTTTATGAGGTCTCATTTGTCAAGTATTGGTCTCAAAGCTTGTGCTATTGGGGTTCTCTTCAGAAAGTCCTTTCTTTTACCTGTGAGCTACAGTGTATTCACTACTTTCTCCTCTATCAGCGTCAAGGTATCAGGTCTTATGTTGCAGTCCTTGATCCACTTTGGAGATGAGTTTCATGCATGACAAGAGCTAGGGCTTTAGCTCTGTTTTCTGTATGTAGTTTGCCCAGCACCATTTGTTGAACAGCCTGTCTTTTGTCCATTCTGTGTTTTGGGCGCCTTTGTCAAAAATCAGGTGACTTCAAGTGTGTGGACTTAAACTTGGGTTCTGAATTCTATTCCATTGGCCAAGGTATCTGTTTTATGTCATTATCATGTTGTTTTTATTATTATAGCTTTTTAGTATAATTTGAAATCAGGGATAGTGCCGCCTCCAACATTTCTTTTATTGTTCAGGATTGTTTTAGCTATCCTGAGTTGTTTGTGTTTCCATATGAGATTTGAGATTATTTTTCAATTTCTGTGAAGAATTGTGTTGGAAATTTAATGGATATTGAGTTGAATGGGTAGATTGCTTTTGTTAGGATGGAATCTTTTCATCTTCTGGTCTTTAGTGCAGCAGGAGACAGAAAGGCCCAGTAATACCTTTGTACATGGATTCCCTTTTTGTTGAACTCATTGGAATTTTGTTTCTGAAATGAAATTTTATTTTGCTCCATGTAGTCTCCTGCTCCTGGGCTCAAATTACCCTCCAACCTCGGCTTGCTGAGTACTGGTACAAGGGCATGTCTTTTAAAACTATTTTCCAGTCATGTTGCAATATCTCTAAAAACGTAGTAAGTTAAAAGTCTCACATTCCTCATCTTAAAAAGTAGATTAAGGTGCCCAGTACTCAGGAGGAATATGAATTTGAAGGCAGACTGAACTACTTAATAAGATACTTTCTACAAACTCAAACAAAACAAAGACAAGCATAAAAGTTAAATGAAGTAATTAAAATTTTTGAAGAAATAAAATAATTGCTTCATAATTTCTATTACTATAAACTTTTAAATGCTGAATTAAAAGAGACATAACTCCTGCCTGTGTTGTTTTCATATTTTAAGAGGCTGTCATTTTAGTCCCATTGTGTGAACCAAATGGTCAACAATTTGGAGCCCTATAGGTCTATAAAATTTATGTATGCGTATATATGTGTATATCCATAAAAGTTTTTAAACACGTTTTTTGTTTGATATAGTTGTCTCAGAATAAAGAAAACTATATCCCTGTCTTATATCTGTGACTAATATAAAGTCTAATGTTGTGAATGCTAATAGCAGAGTTTTCTTTTATAATTAACTTTGTTGGTACACTTTGGACATGATGAAGTGTTGCTTACGTTTGCAATTTTACAGTATCTCATTAATTACTATGACTTCTTAAAATGGAAGTCCAAGATTTTTAAATTATTTTATTTAATATATTTTTGTGGGTTAATTGCCTCAAAAATATTTCATGTGGAAATCACTGGACTGCTTTTAAAATGTTACAACTGAGTGGCTTTTATATTTTAAGTATCTTATTAAGGTTATTTAAATATTCACTGTCCGAATATTATGTGATAAAAAAAATCTACATATTTTGTCCAATTTAATTAAAAATGTGTGAGAATCACAGTGGGATATTATGCAAGTGTTAGAAGTGATGTTTCACTGTTGGTTGAGACTATAGTGCACCAACTGAAATTCAAAGCTAGAAGCATCCAGTATGTGAGACCTGAAACAGTTCACAATAACTAATGATGCAGCACAACACTAAACAGTGAACTGGCCTTAAAACATTGTGAAAGTTTTCATGGCGACTTCATGACTTGATTATGGATTCTCAAGCACAAACCTTGAGGTGGCGGCATCATGTCACAATGCCACACAGAGGTTTTCCGCTCCTCTCGGTTCCAGAGCCACGTCTTCTCCTGCAGTGCCAACCTACTCCCTGAGACACAGTGGCGAAGGTTGGATTGAATGGACTTGACCTTTTTGGTGCCTGGCTACCAGGGCTGCATCCAACTCTGGCAAAATGGAAATTGTTGCCATCAGTAACCCCACCCCCACTGGCTCAATTACACAGTCTACATGTTCTAGCATGAGTCTACTGGTAT